GTGTGTGTGTGCGTGTGTGTGAATGAATGCGAGCGAGTCTGTGCGCACGTATATGGCGTAGACTGTCGGGTTATGTAAAAATGCGTACGTGTGCGTGTGTACCCATGTTATTACAATGCGTCCGGTCGAGTGTGAGTCAGCGGGCCGCCCCTGTTTAGGCGAGATCATTACACTTGCATGGCTCGTTAACATTCACCGTCGTAGAGAGAATCATGAATCATGTAAGCCTCCCGCGGCCCCGACTCCCGACGCGGCAGGTATTACACGCCATGAACCCCTCCGTCGCCATGGTTACACCCCCGTGCGCCGGGACACGTAGGCGCGAGCTCGGCCGGGCGCGACAGCCACCCACCGACGCTCAAGTAGGACCGCGAATGGAGGAGGACTCGGAAGGCGCTGCTGACCGTGGCGAGGCCTCGCTCTCGTTTATTTCATTCTCTTGTATTTCCACTTTCTCATTATACTGTGGGCGTCACTGCTATCTTGTTTATTAATTTCCCTTAGTTATTTCCATTTATTTTCACTATTAAATCTCTGTTATTTTTCCTCGTGCATTCTGTCTCATTCACGCTCACGCTTTTATCCAGTTTCCTTATTCTCACTCTTGCATTTCATGTTTTATCATTCCTACTGTTTTATCTCGTTTCCTCTTCCGTTTCCAGAAATGTTGACCAATTACTTGTTTCCCGAAAGCGATGCTGATCTTTCTATTTGCTTTGCACTCTTTCTCTCTCCCTTCTCTTTTTCTTTTTCTTTTTTTCTGTCCCTCCCCTTTCCTTTCGTCTGTTACTTACTCTGTTCTTACCTATCCTACTCTTTATTCATGCCCTTTCTTTCCTTCTTTATATCACCTCTTTTCCCTCTTTCTTTTCTGTCTTCCTCTTCCTTTATCCCCTTCTCCCCCTCTTGAAGTCCATTCATTCTCTTCTCCTTTCCGCCTCTTTCCTTTGTCTCGGCTTGCGAAGGAAAGACTTCCTTAGTTACAAGATAATGTCTGAAGATTAATGCTGCCTTCGCCCTTTGTTTGGGGAAAAATATCAATTGCTTATTGACCCTGTCTTGGTTCCTGCTTGCAGCCGGCCGCTTTTGCATGAACCTAAAAAAAGGCATTATCTGGAACAATTTCGTTAGCCACGCCTACAATGTATACGCCAGCCAATGAGAACCGCAAATGATGCCCTGATGTCCCACCCACAGCTTTGTCATCCGCCAATGAAATGTTCGGGTCGTTTTTCGAAATCTGATTTTGCTCCAATCACGTTCAAGGACATTGTAAATTTTGTTGTTGTTTTGACCCAGTGATTCACTTTGAAAAAATAAAGAGAAAAGAAAAAATATACAAAAAATGACAGAAATATACAGAAATTATAATCAACAAGAGAATGAGGATGAACTTTAGATCAATGAAAACAATGAAACAAAAACATATACTCAGCATAAACCAAAATTTGCCAATAAGAGAAGAACATTAAAAGGTAGAGAAAAAACATTAAAACAAACAACGTTACCTGTAATCTCGCAACGTTTGTCGAAGAAACATTAAACACCAAACACACTTTTAAAGATGGATCTTGAACTCTTTAAAAGTCCAGTTGCTTCGAGTCCCACGGCAACATAACCATGCAACAATGAAAACAGCAATTCAGAAAAAAAAAACACGAAACTAGTAAGCCATGCTCTGATCCGGCAAGACTGGCAGTGATGCCTCCCTCCCTGGGTGCCCGGATGTGCTCTGCGTGAAAGGGCGATCTCGAAGTTTTACATCATGGGAAATACACCCTTATGACTTGTATTAGCATATTCAAAGAGTATATGCGGTATACTAACCGTGTTCGAGTCTGGTATATCAATTGTGTGCATGTGGTTTGCGTCAAAGGTTATATTCCCGGGACGCAGCAGGTTATGATAAACTTGATGATAAACTTGATGTGCGATAAGCGAGCAGGATTATCTATGATCTATGCATTACTGAATTCCGTACTGATGGCGGCGCTTAACCGTGTGTGTGTGTGTGTGTGTGTGTGTGTGTGTGTGTGTGTGTGTGTGTGTGTGTGTGTGTGTGTGTGTGTGTGTGTGTGTGTGTTTGTGTGTGTGCGTGTGCGTGTGCGTGTGCGTGTATGTGTGCGTGTGCGTGTGTGTGTGTGTGTGTTTTAGTTATTGTTCTTGACTCTGAACTTGCAAAGGTTAATTTGCAACTGGCGCAACACGGGACAATAGGAATGGATGTATTTCGCAGTGCAATACTTCTTATGCTTCGAACGCAACTAGGAAATCCATAGTAATTTAAAAAAAATAATGATAACAGTAAACATAATCATAATGACGTTAATAATAATGATCATTACAGTGATAACTATTATAAAAATAACAAATGATAATGATGATAATAATGAAGATTATCATTATCATCACCAAAACAAAAAAAAATAATAATATCAATAACAATAATAATGATAATAACAATGATAATAACATTAATGATAATAACTACTGCTGTAAT